AGAGCGAGAGAGAGAGAGAGTGTGAGAAAAATTATCCCGGCAAAGCAACCTAACAGCGATGTGTAGGAGCATATCTGGAAGCATTCCCCTTAATATTCAAATGAGAATCCAGTTGTAGAATTCTGCTGTTCTCGCAGTCGTAGTCGCATTCGCGATGACAGTCGCAGTGGCAACGGCAGTCACAGACACAGCCTCAGCCTCAGCCTGCCTCAGCCTCAGCCTCAGCCTGCCTCAGCCTCAGCCTGCCTCAGCCTCAGCCTCAGCCTGCTTCAGCCTCAGCCTCAGTCTGCCTTCAGCCTCGGCGTCAGCCTCAGGCTGCCTCAGCCTCAGCCTGCATCAGCCTCAGCCTCAGCCTCAGCCTGCCTCAGCATCAGCCTGCCTCAGCCTCAGCCTCAGCCTGCCTTAGCATTCAAAATGTGGCCCGGGAATTGAGTTCTGGGAATTCGAAGAACACGAAGTGGCCTACAGTTGGCTCAGGGCATTCAAAATCATGCCCAGGAATGGAGTTCTGGGAACTCGAAGACCACGAAGTGGCCTACAGTTGGCTCCGGGCATCCAAAATCTGGCCCGGGAATGGAGTTCTGGGAACTCGAAGACCACGAAGTGGCCTACAGTTGGCTCCGGGCATCCAAAATCTGGCCCGGGAATGGAGTTCTGGGAACTCGAAGAGCACGAAGTGGCCTACAATTGGCTCCGGGCATTCAAAATGTGGCCCGGGAATGGAGTTCTGGGGACTCGAAGACCACGAAGTGGCCTACAGTTGGCTCCGGGCATTCAAAATGTGGCCCGGGAATGGAGTTCTGGGAAGTCGAAGACCACGAAGTGGCCGACAGTTGGCTCCGGGCATTTAGAATGTGGCCCGGGAATGGAGTTCTGGGAGGTCGAAGAGCACGAAGTGTGTGACTGTTGGCTTAAAACGACTTCTGCGGCACCCTGTCCGGCACCCGCCCAGACCCCCCTGTGGAGTCATCTGCTGCTCTCTTTTGACCCCACTAGAAAACTATCAGAACAAGCTGTTAGGTAAAAAAGATACATAAAGACAAAACAAGCAAAAGACAGACATAATGACATACTGACAGACAGACGTACACAGACAGACACACACACACACACACCGACAAAAGACAGGCAGAGAGAGAGAGCCAGAGAGAGAGAGAGAGAGGGATAGTCAGAGAGGGAGTGAGAGAGAGAGAGAGAGAAGAAAAAAAAAAAAAAGAGAGAGGCGAGAAAGAGAGAGAGCGAGAGAGAGTGAGAGAGAGAGAGAGAGACAAAACATAACATAAAGAAAGCAAGAGAGATAGAGAGAGAGGAAGAAATACATACAGAGAGAGAGAGGGAGAGGGAGGGAGAGAGAGAGAGGGATAGAGAGAGAGAAAGGGAGAGTGAGAGAGAGAGAGAGAACAAACAAAAACAAACAAATCGAACAATGCAAGGAACACTAACAAACACATGTTCAGAACAAGACACGGGGCGGTTAGAAGAAGCGCACCCGAAACTGATGTTGTTGATCGACGCCATCGCGACCGCCTTGGCGACCATCGGAGCGAACGCCCCCGTCTGCCAGGTGGCGGATGCAGTCTGGAAGAGGAGACGGCGGCTCGGGAAGCCGCGCGCGCGCGACGACGGGGGGCAGGGGGGGCGTCGCGTCTGTCGCCGGCAACTTCGCGCCCCAATTCGGAGTCGCAGTACGAAAGCGGCGCCGCGCGCGGGGCGAGCGAGAACGGCGGAACGGCATCGACGCGCGCGGCAGGAGATGCGAAGGCGAGGGCGGCAGAAGCAGCTCGCTGGAGGGCAGCGCGGGCCGACCCCATCGCACTGGTGCCCGTCGACTCAGCCGGCGCGGCCCAGGCGGTCGCCCGGCGCCGGGGAGGCGCGCCAAAAAAAACACGAATTGGAGAAGACGCGCCAGATAATTCAGCAACGGCCCCGGGAGACCTCAAAGGCTCCGACAGCAAACGTGCCCAATCAGCAGAATCACATGCGTCGCGTAGCTCAGCCAGCAGAAGTGAGCGAGTCATCGGGGCCAGGTACTCTCGATAAGGAAGGCCAACAACAACCGCGATCACGCAACAGGAATATCGAGACGGTCAGGGCCCGTGGACGTAGGTGGATCCCATTCAGAACGGCGTCGCCGCGATGATCCTCGAACGCCGCGAAGCCGCGCAGGAGACGCCGCGTCGACGTCCACGACAGATAAAACAGCAGCGCAACATATACCTCTCAACATGGCCATGCGCACGCCGAACTGACAGGCCCTGCGGGGAAAACTCAAGGGGCAGACAGAGGGGCGCGCCGATTTCCAGGCAATCCCCCATCAACGCAGAGCTGGGTGACCAGAGACGCGCGCGTCATCTGAGCGGCGAAACAGGCAGAGGTCTCCAAGATAGGGCCCGAGGCAGCGAGCAGGATCGTCGCGGCGATCGCGGGGGGGGGGGGGGGGGGGCGCGCAGCACGTTGACATTGGGGGCCATCTCGACCGATGGGCATCAATCCGGACCGGAAGGAGCGAGAGCACGAGCTAGAGCATGCCAGAGAGACAACTAGTCAACCCAATGACCTCAGGGCCCCCCCGGAGAAGGAAGCACCCCCACGGGGCCCCAAAAGTAAAGGGGGGCCCGCCCCCCCCCGCCGCCCCTCCCCCCCCAGGAAAGAGGCCACATCACAGCGCAGAACAGCGGGGCAGAGCAGTGGGACAGCCATCGGCGCATTATACTTCGAACGAGTCCAAGAGAGCAACCCATGGGAGGTACCAAAGCGAACGTAAGGCAATGAAGGACATCCGTTTTGCGTGACTATCGGCGATGGAAACGCCCCAGGTTTTCTTGGGCGCCCTCGGCAAGCGACAAGAGGCTCTGGTCGGCGGTCAAGGACCAGAAGCAGTCAGCCCCGACGACGAGGAACGTCCTGAAGGTCAGCCACAACAGCCCACCTCGCATCGCGACGATGGCGAGGCACAGGCTGAGGCGCCGCCCGATGGAGATCCCCGCCCGCCACGTCGAGATCTACCGGAACAGACTCGGCACGACCAACGCGATGTTGAGCTACGCCAGCCCGAACCAAGACGCAATCGCGATGGGGTCGCGGGGGACTGACTGCCACTCGCCGCGGACGAGCAGACGGGGAAAGGGAGCGGGGGAAACAGCGAGGGCATTTAGCGCAAGAAGAGCTGCGCGGAGTAGTTGGATTCAGTGGACAGCGCAGCGGCGATGATGGGAAGCACGCGATAGTGCCAACGAGGGCTCCGACGGGAGGAGCGGCGCTGAGGGGCGGCGCCTCAGGACGCGCGAGCACGAACAAAACAGGCGCAGCAAGGAGAGAGGATGCATCATTTGGCCCAGTTGACAGGAGCCAGCATTCTCCGACAGCCATCCTACTCCCACAGCCCGCCACGCGCAGGCAATGGACGACGACGGGACAGCTCCGGCTAAAGCTGAAGCAGGAGAGGGGAGCGGCTGAGGGAGAGGGGATTGGGCACGCCGCGCTCAACGGACGAGAAGCAGACCGAGAAGGACAGCTCAGGGGGCGGGGGGCGACAAGTGCGTGTTCGACGCTGCCACCGAGATGAACATGGGGCGCAACGAGACCTGGGGGGAACCTTCAGGGCAGCCGCATGGGGCCGATAGCTACGCGAGGCGACAGCATCAGCGGCTTTGCCTGAGCATCGCAAGGACGCATGTTGGACCCATTGCGGCCGGCGGAGACGCTGCGGCTGGCAAGGGCCCAGGGACGAGCGCGGCTGGGGGGGCAGGTCAGGGGAGCGCGCGCGCGCCGCCCCCGCTGCCCCCGTCGGCGATCCCGCCGCCCGCTCGCGCGTGCCTCGATTTCGAGGCCAGGCGCTCTCTTTTCCCCCCTTGTCGTCGTTCGTCGGAGTGGTCGTCAGTCGTTCCCTCTCGCCTTGCGGGGCCAGGGGTGTCGATCCTCATTTCCTTCCTCCTCCCGCGCTGGCATTGCACCTGTGGGCTACACCCCAACAGAAAAATTCCTCCGCCTCCTCCCCCTCCTCCTCGTCCTTCCTCAACCAACTCATGCGCATCTTCCCCCTCATCCTCCACGTCCTCCACCATGTTCAGCCCATCAGGGCACAGGCGGCCGCAAGGTCGAAACTCAGGGGCGCCTTTGTCCTGTCGCAGGAGTTGGGGCGGCCCTCCGAGAGCAACCAGTATGTTTGCGCCGTGCCGATGAAGGGGCGACCCCGCAGCCAGCGTTCATTGTAGAACGCCGCCAGTGGTTAAGAATCAGCCGGCATCGGATGATCGGCGTTATCGGAGAGCCGCCGACGCGGTGTTAGAGACCAACGTCGAAACCGTCACGACACGCACCCCCTGGACCATCGCCTTGTGGTATTCCAAGGGGCAACGTTTGGGGGGATTGTCTCCAGGGGAGGTTGCGTCGACCTCCGATCGCCCATCGACCCCCAGTCGCCCTCTCATCGCCAATAGGGGCACGATAGCCCACCCCGCCCAAGAACGTGCGGATTTTCCATCCAGGGCCTATCGCCGATGTGTCCGCGATGTATCGCCGACTCCAGCTCGGTGTTCCCCCCCCGTGAGCTGGTCCTTCGCTATGCTGGCGGCGCACACAGGAGGGAAGCGAGAGGTGGCAGCCTTTCTCGGAAGGCGGCGGGGCTTCTCGGAAGCCCTCTCGCGTCCTGAAGTGTCGCCTGTGGTCTCGGAAGGCGCGGGGGCCTCTGAGAAACCCCGCAGCCGTCTGCCGAGAAGGCTTGCCCCCTCTCACTTCCCCCCGGGCTCGCCGCCGACTGTCGTCCCCCGTCGTCGCCTCGTTCGCGTGCTTTGGATTGTGGACTTTGGACTGGATGGAAAGGCGCGTTGATGCCGCAGCCCCCCGAACAACGCAGAGCCGACGCGCCAACGCGCGGGCCGGCTCAGTACCTGAGAGGTGGATGGATGGCCCCCCGATCACGACTCCCAGGGAGGGAGGCCTCAGCCCCGGGAGGGCTGAGAGGCCGAGGGGAACACTCGCTTGCGCGCCGCCCTCTCGAGGGCACACCCCGCGGGAGCTGTCCGCTGCGCACCTCACCGAGGCCCGCGCGCCCCGCCCCCGCCCGCGCTCGCCGCCGGGGAGGGGGGCGGGGGGGGAGGCGCCGCGCCGCGGCCTCGCGCTCCTAGGGAGGGGGCCAGACCTCGAGGTTGCTGCAGGTGCCCCTCCGGCGCGTGACGGTCGTTTCTAGGGCCTACCACGGCGGTCGCAGCGCATCCCCGCCCCGACGTTCCCCAGTCCAAGCGTTACCGTCGCCCAGGGCCCCACCTCACTCCACACACCAAGGGTAACGACCGTTACCCGAAGTTAGATCTTCTACAATCAGATCTTCAGACGATGTTTGTTTTTCAACCGACGTTTTTTGTATTCGATGTCGGCCCTCCGGGGCCGGTTTCGGGCTCCTGGAGCGGGGAGAGGGGGGGAGCAGCGGGGAGGAGGGAGGAGTACAGTCGGAGAGATGCATGAGAACATACGGCTCGAGAAAGGTTTCCCGAATCGGCGGAAGGGCTCATACTTCTCGGAAATGCCATGATGCCCTCGCGCTGACTTTAGATGGTCGATTTACGAGTTTTCAGATGCCTGTGCCCGTCTGGTGCCCCGAGTCATCTCGCAGAGGAGGAGGAGGAGGAGGAGGAGGAGGAGGAGGAGGAGGAGGAAGGAAAGGTGGAGGAGGGAGGGGGTAGAAGGGAGGGGTCCCGTTCACGGCGCGCGGGGAACGGGGCTGAGCCCCCACGCGAAGGGTCAGCCAATCTCCTCTGATCCCTGATGGCCGACCTGGGCTTGGAAGCCGTGTGGAGCCAACACCCCTCCTCCTCCGTTCCTCCGCCGACCCAGGCTTCCCTGACTGACCCGGGTTAGCGCTGACCTTTGTCAGCCCGCCCACTATCGGCGTTTTCTCGCGGGTGTCGTGGTCTATTTTTCAATTTCGCGCCCACGTCGGCCACGGATGTTTCTGCCGCAGGAGATGCCGGGGGGGCATGGTTGCGCAGCAGCCGTCAGGACCCAGGGTCGGAGGATCGAGGATAGAAGATCGATAATCGATCCTCGATCGAGTATCTAGCGATCGAGGGATCTCGCCGCGTTGACGCGGCGGTGACCCCAGGCCCAGCGCGGGTGTCCAAGGTGGAATGCCGCTAGTGGCCTAGAATCGGCCGATGTCGAAGGACTCGCATAGTCAGGAAGCCGCACTCGTTCAAGATGAAATCATCTACGCGGTTCCAGAGACTACCGCGACGCCATCTACCCTCTGGCTGATGCTCATGTGCGCTTCCGCACCCCCCGCGTTTGTCCCCGACCTTGTGCATGTCACTTCCGCGCGCGTGCGCGGACAGGTACTGGGGCTGGCGGACCACTACACCTTGGACTGTCCGAACAGGGTGGGGGACGCAGGGAGAAGCAGGCGGAAAGGCGGAGAAGTTCTCCCCTCCTCATCTTCAGCATCGTTTTACTCCGTTATCTATCTTCCTCTCCCATCTGACACCCTGGAAAAAGGGTTCATGAGGGTAAGGGACCCTGAGACGGCTCGAACGCTCCGCACAATAATTGGGTATATCGGGCTCCGGTCTCGATTTTTCGCGTTGCTGCATGTCGTTCGCAACGTCGCATCTGAGGGGAGGCGGAGCCCTTTCCGGATGCCAAGCTCTCTCACGGCAGAGCTGCCCAGCGCCATCGTCCATCGTTCGGGGCGCAAGAGACGGGGGTCCATGCAAACGGCGGTCAGCCAGAGCGCCGGATTTTGCAGGACCCTGCAGGGCCAGGGTCGCTCTGACCCGGGTTCGGGTGCAGGATCCTGCAGGATTTTGCAGGATCCTTCGCATTGAGACGGGTTTGGGTGCAGGACCTTGCAGGATTCCGCAAGGACTGACTGACCCGGGTCTGGATTGACCAGGGTCAGAAGATCCCCGAATCGTGCTATTGTTGCGAGATTTGTGGGATCTGTGGAGCCCGCGACACCCGTGGGACCTGCGGGATCTTCCGGACCTGTGACAGGCGAGATTTGCGACACTGGCGGAACTCGTGGAACCTGTCAGACCTGTGGTACTTGTGAGACATGTGGGACGACCTTCCACACTTGCGGGACCTGTGGGGCCTGCGAGACCTGCGAAACATACGGAACTTGCGAGACCTGTGGGATCCCAAAAAAGTAGACCGCGCTCGAGCATGAGCGCCATTCTGAACGACGAGAGCACAGCGCCAATTGAAAATTGAGGCCCACGTTGCAGCGACGGCACCATCCTTGAAACACTGAATCAATGCGGATGGATGGTGCCGGTAGATCTTCTGGACAACTTCAGGGGAGAGAGGAAAGTAGTGCTCGTATTGAGCAATTGTGGAGCGAGGGGAGGGAAGGAGGAGCGAGGGAGGACGGGGGGAGGAGCGATGGGAGAGAGGGAGGAGCGAAGGAAGAGGGAGGGAGCAGCGAGGGGGAGGAGGTCCCTCCCGCCCTCCGCCCCCGCTCCCTTTTTGCGTCCCTCCTCTGCGCGCGGCTACGCGGCTGCCCTCGGCGCCTCCAGCGCGAGGACGGCCTCAAGCACGTGTGCGAGAACGTGCTGGTCCACAGCGTGGGCCGCCGCGGCAGCTTCCCTTCTCACTCGTCACGGGCCGCCTCCTTCTCTTCAGTTGGCACTAA